CCCCGTTCGATCCTGAGCTGTTTTTTCCACTGTGTGGCAGACTTCTTGTACTTTTTATTCAGACAGGGTGTGCTCAGAGAATGAAAGACTAATTTGGCAAAACAATGAATTCAATCAGCTGTGGAAAATACAATTATGTAATTCACTCAAAGCCAAAGATAAATAAATTAAGGTTCTTCTTTGTTTTGAGTTAACTGAACAACAAATAATCGGCATCTCTCCTACTGTTACCCGCACCCTTCTCCTGGGATGGGGAATCAAGCACAGATAGAAGAGAGTTCACTCCCTACCCAATAGGAGCCCTGGGAATTCAGTTGATGACCATAAAGTTGAGTCTAGAAGAGCATATTTAGCTGATTAATTAATTATATTCAGCCCACTTTTCCCATAGCTCTGGTTAGTGCACACCTTGCGGTCCTTGCTTTTTAAAAAACCAGGCAGCATTCTCCATCCCTCCCCTATAATTTCTCATTCATTTTGTTTCTAGGGCCCTCTTCGTGACGGAGGCAGAAGCCCCCATTAAGCAATGCCCAGTGTGCCGGGTTTATATTGAACGCAACGAAGGCTGTGCTCAGATGATGTGTAAGAACTGCAAGCACACGTTTTGCTGGTACTGCCTCCAGAACTTGGACGTAAGTTCCACCTGGAAGAGTCTCCCCGTGTGGTCCTTCTCTATCCTGTGTCTGTGCGACAGCCAGTATCTGATGGGCTGTTCTTGTTCGCCAAAGAAATTTATTTTTCTTAATGAGACATCCTGAGCCTGCTACTTTAGATACCTTTCTTTGATTACCTTAGGTGTGTCACCTTAACTTTAAAGGCAAGCTTTTGTTTTAGGGACATTTCCTGCTTTGGGGGCATGGTTTCATTTTATTATGTAAAGGACTATTAGTGTAGTAGTTTTATATTGCTTTTGTAACCAACTACCACAGACTTGTGGCTTAAAGCAACACAAATTTACTATCATTAGTTCTGTCCATTGGAAGTCTGATATGGATCTCACTGGATTAAAATCAAGGTGTCCTCAGGACTGCGTTCTTTCTGGTGGCTCTAGGAGAGGATCCATTTCTTTGCCTGTTTTAGCTTCTAGAGGCTGCCTGCATTCCTTGGCTTATGGCTCCTTTTTCCATCTTCAAAGGCAGCATCATCACATCTCTCTGACCCTTCTTCCATGGTCTTAACTTCCAGAGTGATTCCCTCCGACAAGCTGGGAAAACTTGTCTGCCTTTAAGGATCCGTGTGATTAGGTTGGGTCCATCTGGATAATGCAGGATAATCTCCCCCATCTCAGGGTCTTTAACCACACTTGCAAAATCCCTTCTGCCATGTAAGGTAACATATTCACAAGTTATGGGGAATAGGCCATTGGCATCTCTAGAGGAGCAGTTATTCTGCCTACCATGATTAGATTGTTTTCTTTCTTTTTGAATTTAAGGAAAAAAGCCATTCAAATAAACGGTATCTCTTAATTACTATCTCATTCATTGGCATGAAAGCAGGATCATTAGTTACTGCTTTCTCAGAGTTCCCTTCCCACATAAAGGGGTCTCGTCTAATTCTTTTCCCCCGCCATTCGTGAAGTGTGCCTTCTCAAATTCAGGTGCAGCTCCGTTCAGTCCAGTGCTGAGGCTAATGGTAACCTCACAGTTAAAAGGTGATGTGAAGGATTGGAGAGAGTTTTTTCAATTCTAGCGTTTTACAGTTTGGGGTGGCATAAGTTGCTTATAGGTATTCCCTATTTTGGCAGTTTGGACCCATAAGATGTGTTCATATTGGTGTAAGCCCTCAGTCATGGTTGGATGGGTGGCCGTTCTTTTCTCAACTTTTCATTTTAATTGCTTAGTTTGCTTTAATTTCATAGGCCATTTGTGTAGTGCTTTAGTATTATACACACCCAGCAAGTGAGTGCAGCTAACATGGCATGCGTGCTGGCCACCACATGCCTGATTTTTAACTGAAAATTAGATAAGTTGTTTAGGCTGACATCTGTGAGTAAGAATCTTAATCAGCTTGATGTCAGGATTTCAGGAAGAGGTATGCACTGGGGAGGAGAAAGTTGACATTTTAGACTCTAGAAGCCCAGCAGGTCAGATTGAAAGACATGTTTTCATTCTTTAGAAAAAATCCTATTTATTATAACCCTTTGAATTACAATTATGTTTGATATTTGAGACCTCTCCTAATTCCAGATGAACGATACTCTGGATGAGGGTGTGACTCACGATTGTACACCCCTCATGCTTTATAAATGAAAAATCTTTTCTGATTTCCTTCAGGTTTAACCAAAACAGTAATTGGATTCATATCCACTAGGAGGCTGAGCCCATGAGGTTCTCTTTAGGAGGCAAGAGAGTAAGGGAATAAATATGTGTGCCAGATCACTCCTTCCTTTGGCTGAAATATGTTTTGGGTATGGTGTTGCAAAGAACACAGTGTTCCGTCACTTGTGCTGTTCTGGTACGCGAGTAAAACGCTACAGATGTGAAATTGCTAGATACACAGCATCTTCTTCTGGTCATTGTGTTTTGAGGTTTCATTTTTCTCAGTTTTAGCCAAGGGGCATTGGCTTGTGGATAATGATGTTTTCCTGTAGACAAGTGTTCCACGTCAGATGGTGGGGTTGATCTTTGTTTATAGGAAAGTTTTAGAGCATGGGTCTAGGAGAATGGTGGTTATCCAAAAGCCAAGCCTGAGACAGACACCAAAAAGAGTGATTTTGAGTTTTGCTGTGGGGAGTTGGGTTTGTTTCTGCCTTGATTCTCATCTCTGCTGTTTCAGAGGATGAGAGAGTCCTCGTCCTCTGCTTTGGGAACTTTAGAGACTTGTCCCCTTCATTTATATCTTCTCCCTCCTGTGACTTCAGCTTCCATTCTCTACTCTCTAACCTACCCACGCATTCAACTGTATCCCATTTAAAAACGAGTAACACTTTTCTCAAGCCTACATCTTTTCCTTACTGCCATTCTATTTCTCTCCTTCCTTTAGAAGCCAAGACTCAAATAAGCATAATCGCCTCTAGCCATTGACACTCCAGTCACTGCAGTGACTCAGATTGCCACCTAGACACACCCTGACTGCATTCTTCCAAGACTGTGAGAGATTCCTTTTGGGTAAAATCCAGTGGATACTTTATTCCTCATCTTACCTGGATTCTCCGCTGCCTTTCACATCTCAACCACCTCTGCTCCAGTGATACCATCTCTTCTGATTTCCCGTCTTTGTTTCTGGCCACTGCTCAGTTTCCTTTCCAGGTTTTTCCTTGGCCCTCTCTTAAATGTTTGTGTTCAATAACCTCTTCACTTCTCAGTCTGCACCCTCTGTCTGGGTAATCTCATCTACTTCTGTGGTTTCTTCAGCCCGAGGACGTTGCTTCCCAAGTCTTTTCCCCAAAATCCAGATCGATGTAATCAACTGTCTTTTGAACAGTAGTGCTTAAATGTCTCAAGTATCTCTCAAGTTCAACACGTCCAAACTGCCAATAAAATGCATCTCTATGTTGTCACTTCCCTCAATAAAGCCTTCTATGCAGTGCTTCTCCCTCATCTGTGATTTCTTCTCCCTGTTTCCCCATCTAGTTAGTTACCTTCTTAATTCTTCATGGCTGTATTTACCTCTTCTCCATCTCAGCCACTGGCATTTTATCTCAGCTAATTGACTACAAAGCCTTTTAGCTGCCTCATTCGTGGTCCTCTCATTCCATACTGCACCTCTGCTAGAGCTACCTTTCAAAGGTAATTGGTCTGGTCATTAATCTTGTTTAGAATCAATGGAGTCTCAAGAACTGTCATCTGTTTTCACTCGATGACTTGTAAAATTACTAAGATACTGTCTAAGGATTGTCAGCTTGGAGTTTCCACAGGCTGTCGTTAATATCACCAGAAAGAGCCTTTGCTTCCAGTGAGGTGATCTGACGGGGTTCGTATCCATTTCTCAACTCAAGAGTGCGTGTTTACCGAAACCTCTCTTTGCTTTTCAGAATGACATTTTCCTCAGACATTATGACAAAGGGCCGTGTAGGAATAAGCTCGGCCACTCGAGAGCCTCAGTGATGTGGAACCGAACACAGGTACCCTGACCTTGAAAGGAACGTGAGAGAAACCAGACTTAGGATGGGTTAAAAAGCCCACCTACTTATCCTCCCCACTCCATTCCCTACTTACCCAGCCCAGCCTGAGAGGTTCTGGGGAACTTTTGGGGCCTGAAGTTAATTCATGAGCACAGTCTCCTAGAGGAGAGGTGGAGGGGCAGGGCGACAGAGCAGCCAAGTAATTAACAGTGACCAGCAGAATGAAGACGAATGCTCGTTCTTCCTGAAAAAATGGAGAGAATGACCTTCCCAAAGCCCTTTGAGGCATATTTGCTATGAAAGGCAGGGCTCTAAAATCCCATGAGCCGGACTTCCCTGGTGGCACACATTGTCCGCCTGCCAATGCAGGGGACACGGGTTCGAGCCCTGGTCCAGGAGGATCCCACATGCCGTGGAGCAACAAAGCCCACGTGCCACAGCTACTGAGCCTGTGCTCTAGAGCCTGTGAGCCACAACTACTGAAGCCCGTGCGCCTAGAGCCTGTGCTCTGCAACAAGAGAAGCCACCGCAGTGAGAAGCTCATGCACCGCAAAGCAGAGTAGCCCCCGCTTGATACAACTAGAGAGAGCCCATGTGCAACAACAAAGACCAAACGCAGCCAAAAATAAATAAATTTATTAAATAAAATAAAATCCCATGAGCCCCTGTTGGGGCTTAGATTCCTCTGTACATATCATTGTGTGTTTACGTGGCAGGTTCAAAGGGAGTCCTGGTTTATTTTTAATAGTATTTATTTGTTTGTTTGTTTATTTCCATGTTCCTTTTGAGGGAGTCAGTGTTCATAGCCTAGTAACCATTATTAACATCCCTCTAAGACTGTTGAAGAAACAGGTAGAGAGCCAACACCAACAATTCATGATCCCACTGGGCTTGCGCCAGAACCTGAGTTAGCATTTGGTTTGTCCTTCCGGGCACTGGCTAGAAGGTCCCATAATTGTAACTGCTTTATGTGCCTGAGATGGTGTCTTAGTTCAAGCTGCTATAACAAAATACCCTAGACTGGGCAGCTCAAACCACAAATTTATTTCTCACGGTTCTGAAGATTGGAAGTCTGAGATCAGGGTGCCAGTGTGGTTGGGTTCTGGTGAGGACCCTCTTCATGGTTTACAGATGGCCATCTTCTCACTGTGTCCTCACATGGCAGAGAATGGAGAGAGAAGCAAGCTCTCTGCTGTCTCTTTTTATAAGGGCACTAATCCCATCATGAGGACACCACCCTCATGTCCTAATTACCTACCAAAGGCCCCCATTTCCAAACATCATCATACTGGGGATTAGGGTTTCAACCTATGAATTTTGGAGGGGGACACAAACAGTCCACAGCTGATGGTAGAGTGTACACATAGGAAGATAGAACTGCTGAAATAGGCTTTTCTTCTACATTTCCAGGTGGTCGGGATTCTTGTGGGGTTGGGCATCATTGCCTTGGTGACTTCCCCCTTGCTGCTCCTGGCTTCCCCATGTATAATCTGTTGCATCTGCAAGTCCTGTCGGGGCAAGAAGAAAAAGCATGACCCATCCACAACCTAAAGATCTCTGTTCGTATCCATGTGCCACAGATGTCTGGGTTATACGAGACAGCACAGTGATAAAACCCCCCTTAGTGAACTCGCCTCCCCCTCCTTGCCAAACTTTGGAAGTGCCTCTGTGTCCAGACTTTGAACTTGCCTGCCCACTTTCGGCATCCAAAAAGGCCAAGCACTGGTGCGTGTGTTCCTGTGTAAAGAGAACCGAGTTCAACAGTCCAGGCCATGTCTATGGAGCGTGTTGGAAAGCTTTGGGGTTGATGCGGAGGAACTAACACACCATCATGCTATCGTCTGAAGGATCCCACTGGACTGTTAACTTCCAGCCACATTCAAGGAGCCTGAATGAACACTTGGTGTAATAAATGTGCTGCCAGTTATGACAACACACATGCTAACTGAGAAGCCAGAGTCTGCTGTGTTGATTTGACCATCATGAGAAGCATGAGGAAAACCTCCTGTAGGAGGGGAAGAATCAGACTGTTTAAGGGGAAATTCTTATAAGAATTGTAATTCTTGTAAGAATTATAAGAGAGCTGCTTATCTTTGGAGCTGATATGGCGGTTCTGCCTCTGCCGTTAGCGGGTGTGCTGATTCCCCAGGAATTTGGCGGAAACACAATAGGTTTCTCCTGTGTGGTCTCAGTGTCAAGCAGGAGAAACTGCTATGCAGAGGGAGTTGTCCCTTCCCAGGAAAAGGGCTGCAGCAGGTAAAACAATCTGGCCTAATGTAGTATCTCTCCCCTGGGTGATAAACTTTCCTTACAGCTAGTAGCTGTGGTCTACAGGATTGTTTTATATGAAGTATGGGTAAAGTGGCAGAGATTCAAAATCGTCATCACAGGTATCAGGGACCTTTCTTGAGCTCTCTGTTCATGCCCCCAACAGATTTAGAATTGGACCTGCAAGTACACACCGACAGTGAATATTAAAGCCCATGGGTATATCTAGAATATGTATAACTTGCTGCCTACCTAGAGTTTCTATTCATTGGGCATGAATGGATTTACCCAATAGTACACACAAAGTAAATGTTTACTTAAAAGCCATTCTTCTGGGACTAATATGGCTTATTATAAATCAACCTAAATATTTTTTGCATATTATATATGTAAATTTTGTTTACAAGTTCATAAGTTCCCCAAAGGTTTTGACTCATAAACATAACTCTTTTAAAATAGTACAATGTGCCATCCCAGTTTGTAAAAATGCTAATTGATAATCAAGTTGTTTATGTATTTTCAAACACAGTTCAGAGCAGCTCTCTTCCCAGCAGCAAAGTTTTGCTCTTTCAGCATCTGTTAGGGCAATCAGAGTACTTTTTGTATGTACAGGGCACTGATAAAACAACAAAAAATATCTGAGAAACAAAATGTAAATGCTTTATGTATCTTAAATAGTTTGGGTTCGTATCACCTCCTTGTGGCTTATTTTTCCCATTATTCTATTAGTCAGATTTTGAATAAATGAGTTTAGAAAAGACAGTAACTTTTACTATAGTTGCCATTAGCAAAGTAACCTGATGCTTCGTGAGAACCATGTTAAATGTTAGTGGACGGCTCTCCTTGAAGCTAGGGGTACCACATCAAGACCTATCAGGACCTATTTTCTGAGGTAACTGGGTAACTAGACTATTAAATTGCTGCTATCCTGGACCTGTTACTAAAGAACGATGCTTTGCCTACGTAATGGATTGTATTCTAAGTGGGGATGTGTATATTTAAGAAGCTTTAATTCACATGTACATATTGATATCTGATATATGTATAGTACATCTAGTGGTTGTGTACATTTTTATTTACTGTTTGTATAGAACATAGATAACTCTGGGAAAACTTTTGAATGGCCACCAACCCCTAAATATTTTAAATTATTCATTAGGAATTTCTCAATATTAAGTGTCTTTATTTTCCTTTGAAACTCTAAACACTTCAGGAAAAAAAAATCAATCTCTTCTTCTAGCACTGTATTTCATATTAGTACAAATATAAATGGATATATATTTGAGTAATTTGCTTTTTCTTACACTGCCTTATTATAGTACAGGGCATTTATAACTGCTCAGGGGATCACAGGAATTCAACTGAAATTGAATTTTTGTACCAAGAATGTCAGTCATGGCAATGTACTCCCCCATATTAATACAGTCTTCAAGCTGGGTTCCACAAAGAATCTTTAAACAGGGGCTGATTTCAAGTAACCTAAAATTCTATGTTATCTGAGGCAGAGCTCCTGAATTTGGAGTAAAAGTGGAAGAAAGCATCTATGCTATTATTTCCTTGACAAACTGAAGGACTATGTCTTCTCACAGAGATGCTATAAAAGAATTAGCTTACTTTTTTTGTGGGCAGTGGGAAGTGTTTGTCAAATAGATTTAAAATAACTGGATTTAGAGGGACTTCCCTGGTGGTCCAGTGGTTAAGACTCCGTGTTTCCACTTCAGGGAACACGGGTTCGATCCCTAGTCAGGGAACTAAGATCCCGCAAGCCATGCAGTACAGCCAAAAAATATATATAACATAAAATAATTTAAAAAAAGAACTGAAGTAGAGAATAGCTTAAAATAACTGGATTTAAGTTTTTAAATGTTGAAAAGTGCCTGAAAACTGGTGATTTCTTCCTTAAAGCGCTCAACTATTTGGCCTGTGTGAGATTGTTGGAATCAACAGGAATAGGTTGGTTGGTTAAAACCCACTTATATCTCCAGTGCATCAAAGGGTGAGATGCAAGCCAGTCTAGAGATTGTGTTTATAATGGGGAAAGCTGGCAACTTTGATAACAGAGACTGATGTTTTCATTTTGTATAACTGGCCAGAGAAAGGGTTTTTACCCTTGTTGCCTTCCTCTGTTTGTCAGCTCTGTCCTTCCCTAGTGATTCTCTGTCCGTCCTAGGAAGAAATATGGGTCTATCTAATTATCTTTGGATGTTGTGGCAGAAGATCGTTTTGTTTGAAGTAGTGTAGTCCATTTGAAATGGAAATTAAACAAATCCTTCGTCACATTGTAATCTGGATGGGATAACTCACCATCCAGAAAAGCTATTGGATGTAATTCCATAACGTTTAGCTGTTGCCCCTTCTAGGGATTTTTTCCATTGTTATTAGGCAGGGAGGTGAAGAGGAAAACCACATGGAACCAAGTTTTAGAATCTTAGGTATCCTATTTGTTCATGCCATGGATGTTTGCTCCCCACTTGAAATCCCTAGTTTGAAAGAGGCCTTTGAAAAACCAACAATTCACAGTGTGAATTTTCTTGTCGCTGGCATCACAAAAATCTCACCTATTCAGGTTTGAAAATCTACATGTTTATTTGAATGTAAATCACCGTTTCTTAGAACCCCAATTGTCTCTTAAAAATTATAGAGAATCTAGGGCTTCCCTGGTGGCGCAGTGGTTGAGGGTCTGCCTGCCGATGCAGGGGGCACGGGTTCGTGCCCCGATCCGGGAAGATCCCACATGCCGCGGAGCGGCTGGGCCCGTGAGCCATGGCCACTGAGCCTGCGCGTCCGGAGCCTGTGCTCCGCAACAGGAGAGGCCACAACAGTGAGAGGCCCGCGTACCGCAAAAAATAAAAAAATTATACAGAATCTAGATATGTATTACTTTAGCCTTCCCTATGCAGTCCTTCTAAAAGACTTTCTGTTCATGAACAGATGCCTTTATGTATATAGAATATGTGTATATGTGTAGCTTTCAAGATAGTTTCAGAATGCCTTTGATGAATGACATTTTATAAAGCTGTTACGGTTGATATCTGTAGGCTGTTACATCTCATGTTGATTCATCATCCAGAAAGTTTTGTTATGTATTTAAGAAATTGCTGTAGTATTATATTTTTCCAAGTATTTGAGAGGAAAATAGCTGTTTTAGTCTCTCTGGCCCCAATAAATGTGGAGCAGGAAATCAAGTGTGTTATGTTTTGTTATGCTGCATGTTTTTAGACACGTTCAGTTTTATCATCCAGGAGCCAACCAAGTCATTATTAAATCTTAGGTTTGGAACTGACAAAAAAGTAACCTAATGTGCGATACCATATATGGAAGTAACTCTTGCTACCTTGTTTCTTAAAAGAAATAGGAGGGGGCTTCCCTGGTGGCGCAGTGGTTGAGAATCTGCCTGCTAATGCAGGGAACACGTGTTCGACGAGCACTGGTCTGGGAGGATCCCTCCTGCCGCGGAGCAACTAGGCCCGTGAGCCACAACTACTGAGCCTGTGCGCATCTGGAGCCTGTGCTCTGCCAAAAGAGAGGCCGCGATAGTGAGAGGCCCGCGCACCACGATGAAGAGTGACCCCCGCTTGCCACAACTAGAGAAAGCCCTTGCACAGAAACAAAGACCCAACACAGCCAAAATAAATAAATTAATTAATAAACTCCTACCCCCAACATCTTCTTTAAAAAAAAAAAAAGAAATAGGATCAAGTGTGATGCCTTCACTTGTTGCAGACTTTCTGTTGTGTGTGTGATACTTCACTCTGCCAATGCATAGGCATTGATCATTATCCAGAAAAATAACCAATAATTTAGGTCTTTGATCATCCTAATAAAAAATGCCAGACATCAGAGCTATCAGTTCTATAAAATACGTGTTGGGCTCCGTGTGCTCTAAGGTCAGTTCTAACCTCCCAAAAGTATGGTGGAGGAATGTGTTTCCTTGTTATGATTTTTAAAGAAAGGATTTACAGGTAGAGGGTTAACTTCAGGTCATTTCCATTTGATTAGTATTCAAGGCAGGACTCGCCTGAAGTTGAGTGCCAGAAGTTGCTTAACAACTAGGACTTGTGTCTCTGCAAAACTGGAAACTCACATTCCTATACTGGTGTTGATGCCTTTTTGCTGAATGTTATTTGCTTCTAATATGATACCTGAGCACAAAGGTTTACAACTGACTTATAATTCAATTTTCATTTTCTAACCATTCAGTTTGGAGGAAATAAGATCATTTAAAAACATTTTTGGGTTATCGTTTCTTAATTTGCTTAATCGCCTTCTAGAATGTCAACATTATTTCATTTTTAAAGTGTGCTTATTATTTGCAGAACTTGAATTTGCATTTCCAAAGAATTATTGAATGAACCATTTTATACAGCAGTGATTTTAATTAATCCCCTAACCAGCAAACTCATTGCAATGTAAATTATGAATCTAGTGAGTTTGGTGGAGAATTATAATTAGGTTTTCCTGTAATTCAATTGTTTTCATTTGTTAGATAATCTAGGTATTTTTTGGACCCTAAAGATAGTATCCAGCTCTACATTATGAGAAAGAAATGAATTTCTTAGAACAATTTAATAGTAACTATAGTATGTTTTATTTATATATTTTTGTGTATGCTTTTTAAAGAACTTTTGAGAACAATATTATGAAATAAGTGGGGCAGATATTGGATCTACTTCATAGAGAAAGCAATAGTTTTGTGTACATGTCCTGCCAGGGGTCATACTATAAGTGACAGATAGAAAAAGAATGCCACAGGAGTTCCCTGGTGGTGTAGTGGTTAGGATTCTAGGCTTCTTACTGCTGTGGCCCAGGTTTAATCTTAACCTGGTCGGGGTACAGAGATCCTACAAGCAGCGTGGCCAAAAAACAATAACAAAAAACCAGCTAGTAATTCTGAGTTTGCCTTTACTCTCAGGTCTGTGAGTTCCAAGAAAATGTCCTCCTCTTCCAATTGCCTGCATCAATGGAGGTATGTATAAAAGAATGTGTTATTTCAAATAATCATTTAGAGTCTGTATTTTGGTGTGTCTGACAACATGCCTAGGGCAAAGGGCCACCCCCTGAGATCGACCCCAATCACTCCCTGGGGTTCATCTAGAGAAGGGCAGGAGACAGGAGACAGATGGTGATTCCTTAGAGAAGTAATGCAGGGGTGTGTATCTGATTTGCTATTGGAACTAGAATTACAGCTGCGTCCATGTACTTACTCCAAAAGCCAAAGTGTTTACCTCTTCCCCACAAATACGAGGTACATTGTCATCAGTTCCTTTTAATGTTTACAATCAAGACTCAACGTGATTAACTCAGATCCAGATTCTTCCCTATTAACATTACTAACTTGTACTCTAAAGTATTTTTGTGGCCTAGAATTAAATAAATCAGTCGATTGGCAGTTTCAAAAGCAAGAAAAGAGGCTCTAAATAATGAAATTAATGAATTTCTGATCTGTATAAAGACGTGCTTTGAATTCCATTTTCTGCATAAACTTTGTCTTTCAGTTTTATCAGCTTTCCTTTTTCTGTGTGTTATAACTAGGGTTCAGGCTTTTGATGAGAAGCGGATTAAGTCTAATGTTAGCCATTTTATCTTGCGGTTCCTTACTGACCTGGCGTGATTTGAGGGGGTATATTTTCTTTTGGAGGGAGTGGATGGGTGGTTGACATTAATGCTATTGAACATATTTAGATAAAATAAACATGAAGATTTTCTTGAGGTGAGTTGTGAGACATCTGATTATTCATCAGCCTGGGCTGATCTTTTTTTTTTTTTTTTTTGCAGTACGCGGGCCTCTCACTGTTGTGGCCTCTCCCGTTGCAGAGCACAGGCTCAGGACGCGCAGGCTCAGCGGCCATGGCTCATGGGCCCAGCCGCTCCGCGGCATGTGGGATCTTCCCGGACCGGGGCACGAACCCGTGCCCCCTGCATCGGCAGGCGGACTCTCAACCACTGCGCCACCAGGGAAGCCCTGGACTGATTTTTTTGAAGTCAAGCCAGTTTGTTTCACTAAAAGCAAACAAGTCCAGAAATCCACACACTGCCCTGCATGGTGTGTCCCAAATTCCAGCCTGGCCCTTGGACTTTGGCACCACAAGGGTACGTGAACAAAGTTGGGAGAGTGTTGGTAAATCTGTGACACCCCAGGCACAGAACCAGCAGGCGATGTCCTCTGTTCTCCCTGCCTTCTGCTAGTCCAGGTGGTGTGGGGTTGGGGGACAGACACCCAGCTTGTAATAAGTGGCTTCAGTTCCAGGCCTGGCTTTGCTCTTGACTGGTGCTGTGGTTTGGGGCCAGCCATTTATCACATGGTGTCATTTTGTCTATTTTAACTCAGGCTTAGGAGGATAGGATGAGATCACGAATGTCAAAGTGCTTCTAAGTGTTCTTTGTTAGGAGGGGAGAGGAGAGGGAGCCATTGTACTGTGTGTGCTGTGGCTGTGAGTGTGGGTGATGAGTTTGTAGTCAGACATTCTTTCCAAAGGAGAAAAGAGAACTAAGGGGCGGGGTCCCCAAAATATATTTCAAGCTTGTGAATGTGTGTGAGGTAGGAATGACCTCCTCAGTAAATATGTTGTCTTTTTAGATTTAAAATATTCCTGGGCTTCCCTGGTGGCACAGTGGTTGAGAGTCCGCCTGCCGATGCAGGGGACACGGGTTCGTGCCCCGGTCTGGGAAGATCCCACATGCCGCAGAGCAGCTGGGCCTGTGAGCCATGGCCGCTGAGCCTGCGCGTCTGGAGCCTGTGCTCCGCACCGGGAGGGGCCACAACAGTGAGAGGCCCGCATACCGCCAAAAAAAATTATATATATATATATATATATTCCTTCATGTCACTTTTTCACAAATATTTCACAAGCATGTAGCTAATTTTATGCTCCATTAAAATGGAGGATATGTGGAGAAAGAAATGCGTTCATAAAAGCACAAGAAGTTTTTCTTGGGGGGAGGTTTATGGTAAAAACTTGCATTTACAAGATTTCTTATGGTGTGCAAAGTATTTTGAATCACATTTCCATTGGCTCTTCATACTATTCTGGGAAGTAGCTATTAATATGCCCCTCCCCCAATTTACAGATGGGAGCTGAGACTCAGGGGCTAGGTGACGTGGCACAAGTTCATAAAGTGGGTTGGAGGCAAAGCTAGAATTTGAACCCACATCTTGCATGAGCCAGCCTAGGGCCTCTTAGCATTATTTTAATTTTTAAAATAGTGGCTTAAAGCAACACATTCATTAATCTCAGTTTCTGTACATCGGAAGTTTGGCATGATGTAGTTGGGTTCTCAGCTCAGGCTCTCACTGGGCTGAAGATCAAGGTGTTGGCCCAAGTGTGTTTTAATTTGGGGCTCAGGGTTCTCTTCCAAGCTCACTGGTTGTTGGCAGAATTCAGTTCGTTCTCATGCCTTCTGTGTGGTGCCCTCCATCTTCAAGCCACGTCGAGTCCTTCTTATCATTCAGATCTCTTTGACATCCTCTTTGGCTGCATCTTTCTGACTTCCATAATTTTAAATTATAAAGTGGCCAGTGGGAACATGTTTGTCATTTTCAATAGGAAATTTAACTTTTTACCGTTCTGTTTCCCTGCCCCTTGAAGCCAAGCAGTTTGCAGACGTGATAGTATCAACTAGAAGAAATCACAAACTCAGGGAAGAGTTAAAAGCAATATCTAGCTTCCTACAAGGGAACTGTTGATCTGAATTTTCAGTTAAGCCTAGCATGGCCAAGGTTTTAACAGTAACTCTGCTTCTGGCTGGCGTCCTTGAGAGGTCTTCTTGGTCTTTACGTGAGACAGATTTTTCCACATGGGCTTAGAAGAAAACCTGATCTCATCTTTCTGAACAAACCTTCAGAAGATTCAGGATTGGACTGAATCTTGTGTTGGATTCAGGAAGGACAACTCCTTTCAAGAGTTGACTTAAAATACAGGATGGTGTTTCCACCCAGGTCAGACCAATAAAGCACTGGATTTCAGTTAGCCAGTTGCTGCCTGTCGTTGAAGGACCTGCACTGAAAGTCAAGGTCATCACCCCTTCCATTTTCCTGCCCCAATGCAGGAATACAGACCCTGAGCAGACACTTTAGATGTTTTAAAGTAGAATGGCCACTTTCCTGACTAGAAATGGAAGACTAGAGGGAGATGTGAGACCTCTACTAGTTCCTTTTGGCTTTGGACAATTTACAATTTATCTTGGCCTCAGTTTCCTCATCTTGAAAATTGGAAGTGATTATTTTCTAAGTCCACTTCAAATCTAAACTTTTGTGTAAGATGGAAAAGATTACTAGCACCCATTGTGAGCCTCATATACATGAGAATAGTACACAAAAGGGAAATTCTCCTTATTAGACAAGGAACTGGTAATTACTGGAAGAAGCTTCCAGGCATAAAATTATAGATAATTCCAGAAGCATGTGAAATATAGTACAAGTTTATTTAAAATAAGCAAATTCAAAGAACAATGGTTGAACTTGGTTTGTTTACAGCTGTTGATGGCTGAAAAGACTTACAACAAAAGTTGTTTGGGGAATTTTCAGGGATGTGTTTCCTCTAGTACTTATATTAAAAACATCAGAACCTCAGTATCCTTATTTTATTCACACAATGGACTATTTATTCTGAGTGCGTCAGTCTGAGGAGTCTTTTTAACATTCAGTTGCTTGGTATTGATTAATTTATCTCTATGTTTCCTATACACATGGCATGTTCTGTGAATTGAATTAAATTTACGGCACATATGTACATGTGTTAATGGATGTGTTATAGGATAGTATATATGATAGTATATTTACCTATCTATATCGTGTGTGTGTGTGTGTGTGTGTGTAGTAGATAGGTGGATGGATGGGCACATCTACTTAGGAACAAAGAAATTTTTATTCAGACTTAATAAATTTTATTTTCAAAAGTAGAACACAAAACTACTTCTGGATTTCAAAAACAGTAAACTAAAAAGCTAAATCAATATTCAAAAAATGCTTTAAAATTTTGACTTTTAAACATTTGAGATTTAATTTTAAGAATGGTCACACTAAAACTCATTTCTAATATTTAAATCTGATGTCACAAATATATCATAACCAAGCAAGTAAAATAAAGACTTAAACAAATCTTCAGGTTTAATTTCTATTACCCATTTTAATGAAAACAAAAATGTGTGTTGATTGCATCTTAAAATAAAAATGGGGAAAGAAAGGGAAATGATTGTATTCTTTCCTTACTGCTCATTCATAATCTACAGGGTATTTCTCGAATGTTTCCACATAAACATCCTCAACTGATATAAGAACACGAACTCACCCTTGGAAGGAAGAGAATGACCTGAAAGCATTGCCCAAAGTGAACCGCTGAGGACTAGAAACTTTTTGACATCACCTGTTTATTTTTTAATTTTGTCTTTAACATTCATCTAAAATTATAATCTGTTCCATATTATTTTGATTTCATTTTAAAGATAACATTGTAAATTACCTAAGTAAAATTCACTTCTTAAAGATGCTTCACCTTTGCCTTGTTTCCTCCAGGACATGGCCCATGTGTAGTTGAACACACTGAAGAAGGCAAGTCTATTAGGTTACCATTCTCATTATGAAGCACGTATTCAGTTCCGTCTTTGTACAAACAAATGTGTGGCGATTAGTTGCCTAAAGTGACTTAGTCTGGTTGAGGAGAAAGAACACATCGGGCTATAGAAAGATGAATAACCGTATCAGGTCATGCCTGATAGATGACAGGTGAGTGGCTGAGCTATGTGTTGGGAGCATGTGGAGGCGGATAGATATTGCTGAAACTTTTTGGTTAGAGCTTTACAGGGACAGTACTGGATCAGGGCTTTGAAAGGTTGTTAGGATTGTGATTGCAAAGAAGGAGACAAGGGCATTATGGAGAGGGGGCATAATGAAAGCAAGGTGGCTTGAGAATTGATAACTAGCCTAATTAAGCCGAAACAAAGCACTTGTAGAACAGAGGAAAGCCAGAA